AAGGTTCCTTGCCACACAATTTAAGGTTAAGGACTTGGGACCTCTATGTTATTTTCTTGGGTTGAAGTTGCCTGTTCACAAATGGGTATCTTTAGTTTTCAAAGGAAATACATCCTGTATCTCCTACAAGATGTAGGTAAAGTTGGGGGAAAATCTAGTAGATACTCCTGTTGATGCTAATCATAAGCTTGGTGGTTGTAATGGAGAACCTATGAAGGATGTTAAGAAGTTTCAAATATTGGTAGGAAGGCTACTTATCAATGACTTGGCTAGATATTGCCTATGTTGGGCATGCCCCTAAGACTTAACACCTTGAAGTTGCAGAAAGCATTCTTAGGTACTTGAAATATCTAGGGATTGGCATGCTGTTCAAAAGGCATGGTCATCTGAAGGTTGGGGTTTTATACTGATGCTGATTGGGTTGGTTCAGTAGATGACAGGAAGTCCACGGAGGTATTATACCTTTGTTAATGGAAACTTAGTTACTTGAAGAAGCAAGAAATAGAGTGTGGTGGCTAGGCCAAGTGTTGAAGCCAAATATAGAGTCATGGCACATGGAGTTGCTGAAGTTCTTTGGGTGAAGAACTTGATAGGTGAACTAGGCTTTATTGTTGACAGCCTAATGTTACCTTACTATGACAACAAGGCAGCCATCAATATTTCTGCCAACCCAGTCCTCCATGATAGAACATGAAAGCTGAAATGCTATAGCCGAAGCAGTAGAAGAGAGGAGGACCAAGAGATGCTGAGAATGTCGAACTGAATGACCCAGTCGACAGTACTATTATTTATATTGGAGTACAGTACAATGTTACAGGAAATGACTGGAATGCCCCTGATTAGTGATGGGACACCCAAACAATTTAAAACACTAAACAAACTAAGGCCCATTAACACAGGCCTAGTACATAACAACTTAAACTCAAATACAGGCTAATAAGAACTCTTATCAGCCGAACCATCAATACATGAAAACCTTCAACCTAACACTCCCCCTCAAGCTAAGCATGGATGTCAATCATGTTTAGCTTGCCAAGAAGGTCCATGAACTTTGTTGCAGCCAACCCTTAAGTCAATACATCTGCAATTTGCATCTTAGATGGAGTATAAGGAATGCAGAGTTCTCCCGAGACTATTCTCTCTCTAACAAAATGTCGATCAATCTCAATATGTTTTGTCCTGTCATGTTGCACAGGGTTATTTGCAATGTTGATGGCAGCCTTGTTGTCACAATACAGTCTGAGAGGACCCTCAGCTTTAATGCCAAGCTCCTTAAGAAGGGTCCTGAGCCATAGGAGTTCAGCAACCCCGTGAGCCATAGCTCGATATTCTGCTTCCGCACTTGATCTAGYAACTACATTTTGCTTCTTACTACGCCATGTGACCAGGTTCCCTCCCACAAACATTTAATGAGGGAGAAACTTGAAAAGGGTGAAGTTTGTACCCCTTGTGTTAGGAAGAAAGACTCTTCTCAAAATATTCCTTACCATTGTTAGAGTGGAATATTTTGATCTGAGTATTAAACTGGATAAAGTAAAGTTCATGAAAACGTTGCACAATGGTTGGGACCTCATGAATAAATCCAAGTAAAGCGTAAAAAGTCATCAACAAAAAGGATAAAATATCTATAACCCACCATGGAAGATAAATGATATGGCCCCCACACATCAGAATGCACAATATGAAAAGGAGAATTTGATCTTTTATTACTTAATGAATAGGAATGTCTACAATGTTTAGCAAGTTCACAAGACTCACAATGAAGGCTAGACAAAGATACTCCTTTAAACAATTCTGGGAACAAATGACTCAAAGTAGAAAAAGATTGATGACCAAAATGTAAATGACATAACATGACTCAATTAATAGACTCTAATGAAATGGACTACAAAGTTATTGCATGAGATGGTGCAAGACTTCTATTAGGTGTATCCAACAAGTAGATTCCATATGCCTCATGGTCACTCCCAATCATCCTCTAGGACTTCAGGTCCTGAAAAACACAATGGGTAGGAAAGAATGTTATTCTACAATTCATGGATTTGGTCAAACTACTAATAGATAAAAGATTGGTATTAAGTTTAGGAACATGAAGGACCGAGGACAAAACAAGGGAATCAGAGGCTTTGATGTCCCCTTTCCTTGAGATGGGAGCAAGAGATCCATCAACAAGGGATATTTTTTCATGGCTAGAAAGAAGTTGATATGAACAAAAGAGGTTAGATATACTGGTCATGTGGTTTGAAGCACCAAAATCTATAATCCAAGAGATTTTATTATTACTTGATATAGTAGCATGATTTGCAAAAGCATGAATACCTGAGTGAGCAAAGGTATGAGTCTCCCATACCTTTCAAATTCTTCCTTTACTGCTACCAGCTGCTCCATAGAGGACTTTTCACTTTCTTTTTTTCCACCTAGTACTATAGCTACATTTGCATTCTTAGGCTTCTCGACCTGACCATTCTTCTTACTATTGTTGTTGTTTCGAAACCTTTCTGGGAGATGATCTAGATGTAACTTCCAACAAGTATCCTTGGTGTGTTTCAGCTTCTTGTAGTATTCACATATCACCTCCTTCTCAGTAGGTACCTTTGGCTTCAACCCTACATGTGCAAAATGTTCTAGGGGTGGAGGTCCCTGTAGTTGTACTTATCTCTTTCTCTCTTCACTGCTAACCATGGAATATGCCTGGGCAAGTGTGACTTCATCCTTAACTGGAATATTTTGTCTAGTTATATCGAACTCAGGGTTGAGTCTAGTGAGAAACTCAAACACCCTGTTCCTCTCTACCAACTTTCTGTAAGTTTCTTTATCCTTGGTGCTCTCCCACACAACTGTTTCCATCACGTCAATTTCCTGCCAAAGGGACTTCAACATAGAGTAATACACAACTACACATCTCTCCCCTTGTCTCAAATTGTTCACATCATTCTTCAACTTATAGGCTTTGGCAACATTCAATTTCTGTGAATATGTTTTTGTAATACTACCCCAAATCTCCTTGGCAGAATTCATCTAGAGATAATGTTGGCTTATGTGAGGCTGCATTGAGTTGACTAACCACTTGATCACAATGTAGTTCTCCTACATCCATCTCTCATACATGAGACCCATCTCTGCTGATTTCTCCTTACCACCTGTAAGATATCCCAATTTCCCTCTACTACAGGCATAAATCTGTATTGGTTGTGCCTAGGCCAAATAATTTGTTCAATTYAACTTAATTGTGGTCACAACACTCAGTATGGTATCTGTTGGACCAACCCCAAATTCTGGGTTCTGCTTACTTCCAAATTGCTCCATTAATCAAACGAAAATWAAAAACAATATTTCTAATCCAGAAATACCCAACTGTAGTCAATCCCAAGCTGGAAGACCCAACAACTAAGGTTTCATTGCACCCGACTTCATGGGAGAAATGGGAGAATTGTAGCTGCTCCTACCAGAGCTTCCCAAATCACCTCCAACTTCAATCGACCTCTTCTAGGGATCAAAAGAGGTCCTTCAAGCCTTGAGCGCCATCCTCACACAGTCTCCTTGACCCATAACTAGAAAACTCTCTAGTTGRCTAGGGTTTTGGGCAAAAAACTGCAGCCTCAATTTCTTGGCAATCCACAACCAGCTTCTATCTCTCCAAACCATCTTCCAACTAGGCAAAAATGATTGTAAGATCAGTCCTGTAAAATCAGAATAGAAATCTGGAAAAAATAAACAGAAATAGGGAAGAGAAGAGAAACAGTGGAAGAGGAAGAAATAAAGAAGAAAAGAATGAAGAAGGGAGAAGAAGAGAAGAGTTTGATCAGATCCCTCTCTATTCTCCTAATCTGTTTTATTACACTAATAATCATGGATCAATTATAATCTTGCCCTTAATGGGGCGGCCAGCTATTAAACATCACTTAAAAGGAACTAAAGAATGGTTAACAGGCCCATGTGGACAAGGGCCATTAACACTAACATAACATATAAGAGAAAAAGAAACAAACTAAAGCACTAGGACCCATCCATCCAGTTTCTCTACAATGTGATGTCACAGGTCACTAGGTCAACAGTGGTTGAACTGCTTGACCTGTAACCTGTTGGCCTTTCTGGTTTGATGAACAGTCTGAGTCTAAATGGATGACAAGTTGTCAGACATGCGTCCAAGTCTGATCCTCCACAGATTCTTGAGGGCACCTCTACATAAAATTTCCTTTGGATTTGCTAGCTTATTTGACATAAATGAACAGCTAATCTACAAGAAGAAAGTTGTTACTGATCCAAAAAATATCTACAAGATGAGCCCACTTTTTTATATCAAATATCACTTGGTAACAAAGGCAACATTTTTTTTGTAGTTATCTAATATTAGAATTCAGAAAAAATGTCTTTTTATATTAAGCATATACTTTTCTATAGACATGTCTGTGAGTCTATTTCATCTTGCTGAGTCAGCCTCTTCGACATGTATTGGATTCCAATTCTCATGTATGTGTCCATGTCCATGTGACACCATATATAGTTACTAGAAGTCTTGAATTTATGGTTTACTTTCAAAGGGTCAAAGTCAGTATGACATGGAGGATGCATATACAGTGGGAAGCCTGCCAGGCAGTTTTATTTGGTTGAAAACAAGAATGACCTCCCTTCGCTAAATATTTAGGTTCTTTACTCATGTGATGTGACACATTCATCTACTTCAAGAGATGTTTACTGCTGTGGTCATACCTACATGGAATATGAAACACATTCAGGAGGAAGAAATGTGAGAAGAATATTAAAATTGACCAGCTGTTGCAAAATTCAGGCCCGTCCGTGTGCTTTGGACCTTTAATCAAGTGGATCACCAATGCATGTTTTAAGAGAATAAAATGCATGTTACCTTCTCGTTTTTCAATTTTACTGATGTTCAAATGTTTGATATAATGTGAGTACCCAACAAAAAATGTTTGATATAATGTAGTGTAAGAGAGTAGTCACTAACCTCTGAATTTTCTGTTTTATTCAAAACAAAACAGGTACAGAGGCAGCTACAATTACGGATAGAAGCCCAAGGAAAGTACCTGAAGAAGATAATTGAAGAGCAACAACGACTTAGTGGTTTTCTTGGGGAAGCCCCTAGTTCAATAATCCCTGTCCCTGGCTCAGGTGATAACTGCCCAGATTCTAAGAGTGACCCATCAACTCCTGCTCCAACCTCTGAGGGCCCCATCCAAGACAAGTCTGCCAAGGAATGCCCACCAGACAAGAGTCTCTCCTGCAATGAGTCCTCTTCACGCCATGAACCATTGACACCAGATTCTGGTCATGTAAGTTCCCCAGTAGAGAGCCCAAAAGGTGATAGATCATTAAAGCAAAAGCGGATGAGCATTGACACATTATGTTCAAAAAAAATAGAAGTAGTCCTCACTCATCAGATATTGGAGTCAAGCATGGGCTCCAGATTCCAGCAGCCATGCTCGGTTTTTCCAATCAGAGAGTTTGAACCTTCATCTGGGACACTCCACAGCAAAGGGGATCGGCTTGAGAATGTTTCGTGAAATGCCAAGCGATACAATAATATGCATGGTGTTTCAAGTGCAGGGCTCTCTTTCCTCTTTTTTCTTTTTGTCGCTTTACCCAATATTTATTTACTTCCCGTTTATTAGGTCAAATAACTAGGTTTCGACTTTGGATGTCAGGAGATTAGTTCAAGTAGAATTTATTTTTAACCTCATTTACCTTTCAGGAATTTCTTATATACTTAAGCTCTCTATCACAATTCAGACGGAACACTATGTAGCCATGGTTTGTGTATGTACTGTAAAACATAGCTTGAAATAAGAAATTGTCCATTTGCTTGCAATTGCTTTGCAAATAATGTACATCAGTTCCTAGTACTGTAAAACAGGTCATCTGGGGTTGCAAGCCTGTTACAAGCTCCCTAGCGAGTCATCTATTTGCGCGATGCAATGTTAATTTTTGGCAATGCCCATTTTCTAAGGAATTTTTACTGATCATTAACAAGGTGCCACTAGTTGTTTGCAAGCCACTGGTTTTACTTGGTGTATTATTTACTATACCACTTCTATGGCCTTGCCTGCCTAAATTGTTTGGAACATTTTTTGGAAAGTGATTCCTTAAGACTTGGATTTGTGAGATTAATAGATTAATTGTGAAGCACAAATTAAATGGTCTAGATCTCTAGCTAGAACATCAGATGATTAGAAAACTCTGAAATCAATTTCTCTCACCATTAACAAGGTGCCACTAGCATTGAAATGTGCTATTAGTAAGCCAATAGTTTTATTTGGTATATAGCCTGAAGGCCCTGAATTATATGAAACTTTCATATTTTTTGAGTTGAGACTTGTAGTTTTGAGATTAATTTATTACTCTTGAAGCATGAGTTAAATAGTCTGGATCTCTAGTTAGAAAATCATGACTAATCTCTTCACTATTTATTAAATGGGTATGAATGAGAAAAGATAAAAAAAAAAAAAAATTGTCTTCTAAAATAGATAATAGTATTTTTGGAACAGAAAAAGAGTGGATAACAGTATTTTAGGATTTCAGAAATGTCTGATAATTCAGTGTAAATGGATTTAATTGTATACCATTAACTCAAATGGAATGGTGAGGGAAGGGGTTATTGCTAAAATAGTAGAGGGGTTAAGTGTCACTCTCAAAAGCCAAAATATAGTAATTTAACAAAAAAAATGATACAAACTGAACTACCATCACATTCAATGGGAGCATTTCTGGTTTTATCCGAAAAAAGAAAATAGATGGATGATAAATAAAAAAACAGCCATGGTATCATATTACTACGAAGAGATTAAAATTACAGCCCTTTATTGTGGGGCATAATTTAGACTAAGCCCAATCCTATAAGCCCATTCTAGACCCTAAAAATAACGGCTAGACATGGTCAATAAAATTTCAGGCTTAATGTGGGCTAGGTCTTGGCTATCAACTTAGTTCCAGAGACTTCAGGTCCAGGTGCAGAAATTTGTGGATTGGAATAGGAAAATAGAAATTAATCACCTACCGGTCTACCTTGGTCAATGCTTTTGCTCATTTCTACTCTCAACCAATATTTTTTATTTAATTTCCATTATTTCAATAATATTTTTAACTTTTGGATTGTTTATATATTTTGCAAAACAATTACTAATTATTTATATGCAATTGATTAATTAATAATGCATATGGTGTTGGATAATAAATATTGAAAATAAATTAATTGCATCATAAAAATGTTGTAAAAATCTTTTATACAAATTGCAACTTCCCAATCATCATTAATTATAAAATCAATGGGCATTTTGTCATTATAAAAATTGGTAACAATTTCCCTATATGGGATGCAACTATCTAACATATAAAATGTGGAATTTTACTTATGGTGAACATCTAATATAAATAGTTTATATTTTTTCATATTAATGACATAAAATTTTGAATTCTTGTTTTTTTCTTTTGCACCGGAAGTTCTAATATACACAATATAATTTCTAATTTTTGAATTATATGGTAAAGTGATATTTAAAGCTTCCTGGACACATAAATATAAAACATGACAACCTAATATGAAGTAGTTTTCCTTTTGATAAATGGTTTTAATTAACATTTTAAAACATTTATAGTAGATTTATTATTACTAACATTATCAAAATTAATAGAAAAAAGTTTATTTTTCAATACTGTTCAGATTCCAAAGTTTCAAGAACAAATTCCTYAGCCGAAGAACAGAGAGCCCTTCCTTGGCACAACACTGCCAAGCATCAGAGGAACCCCGACTCCGAAGCCTAACTCCACCTCGGTACCTGACTGATTTAAACGACCACATAGAAACTAGGCCGAGGAGCAAAGCGCCCTTCCTCGGCACAGCGCCATTGAGCATCCCTCGACTTCGAAGCCTAACTCCACCTCAGCACCTGATCGAGCTAAATGACCACGCAACAACTCAGCCGAGGAGCAAAGTGCCCTTCCTCGGCATAGCGCCACCTTGCATCGGGAAGATTCAGACCTCGAAACTCAGCTCAACACCTCGGTGCCTCGCCTGGCTAAATGACCGCACAACAGCTCAGCCGAGCATTCCCCCTCCTCAGCTCCAGAACTGGGGGGGTGGTGTTTGAATTCTGAAGCTCGAATTCTTGGAGTTTTGCAGCCGATGATTGAAGGATTTCTCGACCACACTCCACATTGCCCGGATCCCAAATTTTGGCAARCACTGAGGAACACCAAATGGACTAAACGCTCAACCAGACTTCAACTTGGAAGTTCCTCAGTCGAGGAACAAAGCGGGAACACTCCATTCCTCGACTTCAGAACTGGGGGAGTGGTGTTCAAGTCATGGCTGAGCTAGTCCTGAGAGACACGTGGCCGACCATAAATATATAAAATATTTAAAAAACTTATTGCAATTGTTGAGCTAGTAAGTGGCCATTTAAATCTTGTGAAACTTAAAATTTGTTTTCGCAAAAGGCATGATATCAATAAAATATTGGTGACACAAATATAACTAATGTTATATTTTAAACTCCAATTATCGGAATTAAGTGAAACTTTAAAATTAAGATTTGAAAAAGTAGAAATTGAATTTGTTTATATGAATAAAAAAAATTAAATAATCCATTTTTATAGTATTTCTAAAAACTTTTTACATTGAGAATTTACAAATTGTTGTAAAATTCTTTCGAGCCTAGGATCTTCAAAAAATAAAATGGTTGTTCAATGTGTATAATATATTTTTCTAATTGTTGTCTCAKTTTTTCATGAGAATATTGAAATTTACCAAAAACACTATGTGTGTTTTGTGTTTTGTTTGCATCAACATTTTTCTTTAAATGTAGTGCCATGTGTCTAGTTAAATGGCCAATGCCACCTTTGCTCTAATAGCTAAAATCACTTCTTTTTTTTTTTTTGCAATTTGCTCTCTTTCCCTTTCCCTCAACATCTTCTATAGTGAACATTTTCCAAATTTCACTTATCTTTCTTGTGCCACTTCTAGGTATACTAAGAGAGCTTCATCAATAGTACCACTAGCACCAATATTGGTGCTATCAAAATATGATTGGACCTTATTAAAAGCATAGGGAAATGGAGTTTGAGAAGAAATGACCATTTTAATGAATATAAAATATTAAAGCATTTAGAAAAAAAATAAAAATTAACTATTGATTGCCCGATTCATCGGTCTGGTATCTCAACTTGATTTCAACTAATGAAGCTTCTAAGACTCCCAAATTGTTTACTTGAGACACTTGAACAAGCCTCCTCCTTGTTGAAACTTTAAATAAAGTTGAGAGTTAAAGAGCAAAAAGACTAAGAAAGTCTGAGAGTGAGGGAGTACATGAGTATATGAGATTATGAGAGTATGAAAATTGTTATGATGAGAATGAAAGAGGGTAAGACTATTTATAGGAGTTGAGAATTATTCAATTGATCAAAATACCTTCCTAAACTAGTCATTTATGATTGTTGGGAGGGGTATTTTGTTTTTTCACAAAGTGAATTTATCACTTTACCAAGATAACCCCAAACTAATTGTTATATAATTGAGGCATTTAGTCATTTTTTGCCCTCCTAAGGCAAAATAAATGCGTCCCCCCCCCCAAACTAGTCATTTATAGTTGGAAGAGGGCATTTTAGTAAACTTCTCCCCTAAAAAACTATCATAGTCATTTGTTGGACTGTGTATGCCCTTAGCTCCAATAAGAATGATGTACATTATGACATTTATTGTAAATGAATAAAGCACATATTTGATTCATGTTATTATGGTGTGTTTCTGTGTAATACCCTTAAACTGGACACATATGAGACTCGTGTTAGTTTAGAATGTTTA